GAAAAACTGTCGCGCGGTTTTTGCCTGCCCAGCATTCTGACAGTGAACATATTTTATTGCGATTGCATTTGTATGCCGTTGCCGATGTCGATCCGCTGCATCGGCAACAACATTAGCAGTCACCATGTCGAGTTATTGTTGTTAATTGTATCTCTAGGATACGGCATGTTTGAGTGGGCTACGCATTGTCACACTTCAGTTTGAGTTGGCAATCGAGAAACGAGTTGTTCGTGGGGCAGCTGCAAACTGCTAACAGCTAACTGCAAACCGGAGGCCAGCTAACTGCAAACCGGAGGCCTGTAAATATAATTTAATTTAAGTCACCAAAAACTAACATAAATTAGTAATTTAATGGCGATTGTAATAGTTTTGTTGTGTTATTTCTCACAGATCTTGATTTTTTAAAAATTATTTTGAAAGTCTAGTTTCCGTTAAGACATTGAGCAATGGCAACAGCAACAAAACACAACATAGAAATTGTCATGTGTCATGGTAAAATGATTGGCACTTCCAAAGTATAAATCAAAGCGCACTAGAAGATATTGGTAATTAGATCTAGATTAGCAAAGTATGTACTTAGCAGAAGAACACGCAATTTCCTCACACCCATTGTCACCCTCACACAGTGCTTTGATTTATTTAACAATTTACCAGAAGATTACAAATAATCAATTGGAAAAAGAAGAAACAACTTGCATGAGCCTTCAGACTATTTGTTAAATTATGTCAACAGCGCAACCTGTTTAACTTAAGTAAGCAATGTTCTTGTATTTTTTTGACTCAATTTATTTTAAATTACAAGATTAAGTTGCCCACAAATGATCGAAAATGTGAAGAATTGGCTTAAGAATATTTGGCCGAAAGCATTGGCAACTCAAACATTTTGAAGATATTTGGCAGATCTGTTAAAGTTTCACAATTTAATTTTTATTTCTAATCAATCTAATATTATAATTGGTAAATTAAAATTATTCTCGTGATTTATATTAAGTCTGTTAATCATCAGAAGGCACCTCTTTTAGTATTGGCGAATTTACTGCTAGCAAACTGAGCTCGTTTTCGAACAATTATGATCTACTTATGTAAATCAAAGATCAGAAATCCTTTGGCTAACAAAATAAAAAAGGGACAACGAAAACATGAGGCTATTCAATTGAGCTACTTAACCCTAAATAAAGACACAAATAGGCAAGAGCCAACCAAAACATCAGCAATAATACTAACAAGAAGAGCAAAAACAATAACAACAACAACAACCAGTTAAAGTAGTTTGAAGTGTTGGGAAAAAATAAATAAATAAATAGATAGGTGAAGTGAAGGGAAGTGAAATGAACGCAACTGAACAGAGTTGAAACTGCAGTGGAACTGCAACAAAACGAGTTTTATGCGCGAAATTCAATTGAATTTGTATGTAATTTGAATGCCACAATACAGATACAAAATCAAATTCAAATCCAAATTCAAATTCAAATACGAATACAAGATACAAAATATGTACATGAGCCAAAGTAAGAGACTCATTCATGATGTTATTGTTATTGTTGGCGTTGATGTTGTTGTTGTTGTTGTTGTTTTTCTTGTTGTCTTTCTTGTTGTTGTTGTTGTTGTTGTTGTTGTTGCCGCTGACTGGCTACTTAAACTTCCTGCGGAAGCTAAAACTACAACACCAACAACGACGCGTCGCAGCGGCTTCGCTGCCAGAGTTGAAAGGCTTTTACTTTGGTTTGTTCGCCTCCTGTTGTTGTTGTTGTTGTTGCTGCTATTGTTAAATACAACATCATCATTAAGCGCATAACAATGGCTATCACACACACACACACACACACACACACACACAAATCTTACTCTACATACGCACACAGGGTTCTATGTACTCGCATTTAGAAAGAGCTGTGCTCAAAATGGGCGTGCTGCTGCTGCTGCTGCTGCTGCTGAACAAATTTCCCTTGCACTGTTATCCTTGTGCAAGGCAATTTGGGAAATTTCCCAAGAGCAGCGCGCAAGTGCGCCATGCACGGCTAGCTATCTCGCTCGCGCCGCTCTTTGATTGGCCAGCGGCAACGCAGCGTCGCGCCCACTTTTACAGTGCACACCAGCAGCAGCAGCAGCAGCAACAGCAACAGCAGCAACAGCAACAGCGACGCCGCCGACGGCATTACACGTAATTTCCCCAGGCGTGTTTATCAGTGTGTGTTTTAGATGAGGTGTGCGCGTGTTTTCCCCATTTCCATTTGTAATCCGAGCCATGAGCGTCAATAGAGTGCCAGTGGCCTCTCATGTGGCACATATATATTACATAAATATATATATACATATATATCTATATATATGCTTGTTATGTAAAGGAACACTTCCCAACCCCCCAATATACATATATATATATATATATATATATAGAATGGGAGCTCTAGCACGCCATGTCTGCCATATTATTTTTTCAATTGCTAAAACTTTTTGGCCCGCACGCGTCCTCTTGGCATTGTTCAAGTTAGCTAATGGTCGTTTTGATTATGTTCCTTATAGCATAGCCCCCTTGTTCCAATGCCTGCTGTTTCACATAACCCCTTACAGAATTGGGTGTGCTCTGTAACATTATACAATGGCCAACTTCACACATATGTACATAGATGTGGGCTATATACTCGCCTAAACATACTGCCATACAGCCATATAGGTACATGCTTCGGTACACATGCATTTATAAAAAGTTTTTGTGCAGGATCTGAGCTAATCATGGCTTTGCTCATGAAGCCGAATATCAAATGTGCCCTCAAGTGCTTGGCAAGTCCGCACGACAACCAGAAACAACCAGTTCGACGAGTTCATTCTCAACTTGAACAAAATTTAAGATACCTACACTTCATGGTAAATATTCAAATTATTCACATTCACATTTTGTGCATATGTTTTTTAATAAAAGAATTGTGTCAGTTTGAAAGCTTGCCATTTGCAACCGAAAATCAAAGAAAGTAAAATGGTTTTTCTAGTCGAAAATATGAAACACTTTTGTAGTCAAGCAAATTTAGTTTTATTAATTAAGCCACTGGATGTTATGAACATAAGGTCTCAGTAGCTAGGAATATTATTGTGTAACATATTTAATTTAATACAAAAAAAAGCAAACTAACTTAAAAATAATTACACTATTCAATTCTATGAATAGTTCGTCAATTGCATTCCTGTACAGGTTTTTATAGACAACTTTTTACAAATACTTACTAGGCTCTTAAATAAAGATTTTATTAAAATAAAAGCGAACTTAAGTCGAGTCTTTGAAATTGTTTATCTGAGAATGTTGGTCTAGTAAATGTCATATATCAAACTAGGCTTATTGAATATCGCATCGGGTATAAACACTGACTTGGAATATTTGACATCATGCAAATATCAATTGTTACAACTCCTTTTAACACTTTTACTATCCACTTCAAGGATTTATTAATCTCCTAACTGATGTTAACATTAAGAGCCTATTCTTTTTGAAACATAACATAAGATCTCTTTTCTCCCATTTAAAACCAATCCTTAAATTCCTATCTGACGAACAATATATATGTTCGGAATATTTGTTTATCGATTTTTTTTAAATCGTCTTTAACATATTACTTAACATGTTTAACATATAAGAAAATAAAGTATATAAGGAAAATAAGGAATGCCAAATAATAAACTAAAATAATCAACAATAAACAAATAAATAAATCGCAATCTAAATGCTGGTTAATGTGAATAATTTAATATATTATTTGAATAAATAAATGGAGTGGAGTAAGAGACCTGTGTACGCGATAAATCCATTATTAAAGATATCCAAGAGTTAATAGGCCCCAAAGCGAAGCTTATGAGGAACACACTTTGCACGGAGTAATGCACCGTAATACAGTGAGTCCCGGATAAATGGATCCCCGCAACCTTGAAGACATTTGATGGCTCATGCAAACGCTTACATAAGTAGCCAACAGGCAGCGAGAGCTGCTTGCTCACTGGAGAGATGATAATGATAAATACAATATAATGAAACGGCAATTGTTGACAACATCAAGTGCTGGACCGGGCAAGAGTCGAGCCGGGCAGCCAGGCTGTCAGTCAGTCCAGTTGAGCGCCGTGTCCATGAATGAAAGAGGTCCAGAGCAGCAGACAAATGTCGGACTGACTGTTCGGAGATGCAGCGGCTTGTCTGACTGGCTGGCTGGCTGCCTGACCGCCTCTAACTACACACAGGCCCGATACTCGAGCGGCACAATGGCAGCTCTCGTCTCTGCACACACACACAGATACACACAGGCACACTCAGATACACACACAGACACACACATGCACAGCGAGGGCATAGAGAGGCGGCTCAAGTGGACACTCGTCGAGCTGGGCTGAGTCGCTGTTAGCGGGTGCAAGCGAGATGGCAAGCTAACACACAAACCTAGGCTGGCCTTGTTCAGCGCAAGGATCCGCGAGGCACAACAAATGGTGGTGGTTGTTGTTGCTGCTGCTGCTGCTGCTGGTGGTTGAATGAGCCACTCACATAGTTGCTGCTGCTGCTGCTGCTGCTGCTGCCGTCGTCGTCATCGTCGTTGTAGTATCCTTGTTGAAAAGGACATGAGAAGCCACTTAGTGAAAATGCGACGAGCGCGCCGCGACTAAACAACAGCCAGAGAGACTCTCCATGTGTATGTCTGTGTGTGTGTGTGTGAGTGTGAGACTATATACCCAATGGTGGATGGATGCGCCATATACAATACTTACATATATGCATGCATGTGTGTGTGTGTGTGTGTGTGTGTGTGTGTGTGTGTGTGTGTGTGCAAAGTAGTTTTTGGTACTTTTGCGCCGTTGGCTGCTTGGACTCGTGTCGAGTTCTTGATGTCTCGTTAGTTGTTGATGACACTTCAGTTTGGAATGTTTAGAGTGCGGCTGACAACGCAACCCGACGAGCACGAGTTGACATTCAGATAAAATCACAATCTCAGCAGCTCTGAATGTGAATCTAACCAACTAACTACATCAAAATTCAAATCAAAATCAAAATCAAAACTCGAATCCAAACTTTAAGCGACCAGTGTTAATGACCAGTTGTCATTGTGGTAGTGCAGCGCGGAACAGTGTTGCAAAATAATAATATTATTCGGATTTCTGTTTGTGTATTTGTTGTGTTGTGTTGTGTTTATTTTTTTTTTGCACGTGTGACACTTATTAATTGAACGGCCGCAAAGTGGCGGAGAAACGCAAAGGTACGCCGTCGCCAACGCCGCCGCCCGCGCAGCAGCGACGCAAATCGGGCGAAAGCGCGACGCCAACATCGGCAACGGCAACGGCACCGGAAGCGGCAGCGGCAGCAAGTAGCGTAATCGCAATACCAATTGCAATACCAATACCAATACCAGTGCCCCCAACGACGCCCACAACGGCCACGGACATGACCACCACCACGCACAGCCAGGCGGCGCTGGAGCGCACGCCAGCCAAGCACAAGGAGCGCGCGTCGCGTGAGCGGGATCGGGATAGGGAACAGGAACAGGATCGAGAACGGGAACGGGAAAGGGATACGACAAACAACAGCAGTGCTGGTGGCAACAGCAGCGGGAATAGCAGCGGCTTGGGCAGCGCCGGCAGCCTGCCCGCCTCGCCACAGAGTGCGGCAACGGTTAGCTTGGGCACACCCACAACGCCCAAGCGGCCGTTGCGAACATCGACGCCATCGTTGGATCAGCCGCGTGCATCGAAGATCATCAGCACGGCGAGCACAACGGTGCCGACAACAACGCCCAGCCATGGCGCCAACTTCTCGGCCGCGGAGCAATTGCGCATCCCGACAGGAGCGGCGGCATTCAGTGGCTTTCCCGGCCTGCACAGCATGAGCAGCTTAATGGTGCCGACATCGGCGGCTGTGGCGGCTGCTGCAGCAGCACCCTTCCTGCCCTGGTCACCCATATTGCTGCCACCTTGGAGCCATGCGCTGCTCCCGGCTGCCTTTTATCCGGCGGCTCTGCGCAACGCTTTGCCCGGGTAAGCGATCTAATTACAACACCACCCACTCAACCACAGACCGCTTATCATCCCCATCTCTCTCTGACTCTCTCTTTTGGCCTCTTGTCTACAACTCTTTCTTTGATCTCGAATCGCACTTTGTAAATCGTTTTATGGCTGCGACTGTTGCAGTTTTAAGGATTTTCCCACGCTTTTCAATCCTTAACTTGTAATTTTCCTCTTCGCCATCGTTAACAGTTAGCAATCTAAATTCTTTCAATACTTATAATCTTAAAGTTTTGAAGAGTTTAGCTTTTGGGAACCTGTTCAAACATTGGAGCATTATTTAAAACACTTGATTCTCTAACTGCATTATAAATAATTTCTATAGATATTTTAGAGAAAATGCTTTTTGCATTTCTTCGTTTGATTAATGGGTATATTTTTGTTGTATATAATTTATATTTCAAAAGTTAAGAAACTCTTTCGAGAAACAACAAAAACCTGCTGATTTTTGAGCGATTTTTATTTTCGCATGATTTTCTAAGTCGAAGTGATTTAAGCTCAATCAACGTCAATAAATTACTCTTGATATGTGTGCCAATTTTGAGATTACAGAACTCTCAAGAGGCACTCCAAAGCACGCCAGTCTATTTGGTTGGGTTGTCTCATATGTATCTGTTATTTTAGGCCCCGATCAGCTAATTTACTTTGCTGTCTAATCCAGCTGCAAGTAACGAGATAACAAACTGAGCCGGCAATCCAATCAAGCAATCTACATTTTAAAGGCACTTGCCACGAGCAGAGCCCACCAAGTAAATTGCCCAAATCGTGGCAGTTGTGACCACGTAATTCCCCCCGAGCTGATCTACAGATCTAGGCTGGGCTGGTGCAGGTTCAAATGTGCTCAACGTACTACTGCACTCCGACACTCCTGCACTCCCTGTTGTGTATTTTCACAGTCCTCGCATTGGCGATCATAGCTCAAGTGATCAGTTTGGCCTGTTTGGCTTAGAAATTCCCATAGGTGAGTGGCATGGGAAACCCCAACCTGGCAACATGTGTGCAGCAGACACGAGACGCGACAGAACCAGCACCAGCAACAACAACACAAGACGCAAAACGGCGACACACTGTCTGCGCCGAAGGTTGGACGAGTGCAAAGGGAATTCCGCTCAGATATGCGGGGAATGCCCCGCGTCCTGATGTGGACCTGAGCGCGTGGGAATTTCGCGCGCACATTTGGGAAAATTCAGCATGGAAAAACCGGAAGCAAGAACGCTTTTTACTTGCGCCAACATGTGGCTGAAAAATGCTTAACGTTTACTGCTAGTGCTAGCCTGGCCAAAACGAAGACGAGCATCCCAACCAGGTAGTGGTCAGCTGTCAGCGTGCGATGCACCAAAATCGGATTTGCGTTTAATTGTTGATGGTATTAGTGGAAAATCAAATTTGTATTAGCCACAGCTTAGCCACTGCGGCTCACAAGCTACGACTAAGAATGCAACTGCAACTGAAACTGGGTCTCTCTCTCTCTCTTTGCCTCCTTATCTTGGTGTAGGTGTCAATAATCCAGCGATTTGGATGCACTTAATCAAAGTTAATTCCAAGCAAGTGTGAAAAATCTTGGCCCGACTTGTCGAGCGACAGTGCAATTTTTGCTTGTCAAAGTCAGTGTCAGTGTTTGTTACCTGCTTCTGGACAGATAGACAGACAGACAGACAGACAGACCGGCATACAGGTAGATATTTGTAACGTCGTTAGACGACCCAACAAATGTGCATTGTCCATTGTGATACTTTCCGGCCATTCCATTCATGACACTTTCGACCGGATGTCGGATGTCGGATATAGGATGTAGAATATAGAATGTAGAATGCAGCAAGTGCGGCTGCCGAGGCAACCAAATGAATCGACAATTAAAACTGTGCTTTTGTCTTTGCTTGCAGCCTCTTTGATGCCAAGGTGCCGTCTTCGCAGCGCTCCGGCTTTCATATATCCGACATCCTCAACTTGGACGGCTCGGAATTGAAGAGTGCAGCGGCGGCAGCAGCAGCAGCTCATCACACGCACAGCCATAGCGCGGAGCTGGGGGCGGAGTCCAGCAATGGGCACGGTCATCCGACACCAACGGCCCTGTCGCCCACACCCAGTTCAGTGCTGCCGCCACCCAGTAGCGCAGATGTGGATCATGTGACGCCAGCGGCACAAGGTGATCATCAGACTACGGAGCATAATGCTCAGGCCTCTCACCTCCATCCCCAGCAGCACCACCATCCGCAGCATCAACAGCAGCAGCAGCAGCAGCAGCAACAGCCGCACCAGCAGCAACAGCAGCATCACCATCCGCATCTACATCAGCATCCGCACCATCAGCAGCCAGTGGCGCCACTTCCCCTGCCGCACCATCAGAGCGCTGGCGGCGCTCAGCCACCCATGCCCCACATGGGCACCCATGCCCATGCTGCCTCAGCGCAGGCCGCTGCCCATCTGCTGGCCAGTCACAATGCAGCAGCCGCCGCTGCTGTTGCCGCCGGCCAATATCTGCCAAAGAACTTTCCGGGCACCTTCGGCGATGAGATGTCCTCCTACCATCACATGGCCCAGACAATGCTCTCCCACTCGGGTCGCACTGCGTGGATCAAAGAGAACGAACTATATGGTAAGTGTCTCCTCATGGGCCCACTGTATATCCAATAGTTCTTAAGAGTTTACAAAACGAAGTCGGCTTTTTAGATAATCAGACAATTAGATGATTTACTAAATTGAATCTTTGGATTTTTTAAATTATATATATTTGAAGTAAGTACAGGGAACTCTTTCAAATTAAATAATATTTAATAATATTAAAACATGAAATCCGTTTAAGTTGACACACAATTCTGATGAACGTAATCACACACAAAAAAAAACAGCTTAGTAGAATTTTAGTTACTCTAAAGGTTAATCAGAGAGAAGAAGAGGAAGTGCAGCAAGAGGGGGGGAAATGAACCGGCAACTGAAGAGCGAACCTAATAATATTGTTCAATAATTGCCTCACAAAAGGCAGCTGTGTTTGCATATCGACGAGCGACTTCAGTGGCACTGCAACACATTATATATGTAGTTGCTTGCAACTGCGAACCGTTTCCTCGATGAGGGCTCGATGAGGGCAAACCCTTCGCTGTGGCTGTGGGCATGCCACGCCCAGTTTGGCTTTGGTACTGTTATATTAGAAGCGATATGTGTCGATTCAGGTGCTTGAAACGCGAAGTGGCCGTGCGTTGAACCACCCCATTTGGGCATGTGGCTCACGAGTACATACCCTAGAAACTGCGGCCTAACATAATCTTGACTAATAGTTTGTATGCGCTTCACACTTGAGGATTAATTTTGTTATTTCTTTTTTTTTTATTTTCGATTTTTTGTTCTGTTGTTTTTTTTTTCGTTTTTTTTTTTTTGCTTTCGTTGGGGGGAACCCTTATTGTTGTCGCGGACACAACATTTTTCAGTCATTCATTTCACATATAAGCCTGGAAATTTATGGCACGCACTTCCGTTTCGTCCTTTTTTCGCTTTTGCACGGCCTTTCCTTTATTTTATTATTACATTTCTTTTTTTTTTTTTTTGTTTTTGTCTCTATGTTGATATGGTGCTCAGCTACAAATTATAATTGTTGCCTGTTTGCCGTTTATATTATTATTATTTTCTTTCTCTTTTTTTTTGGGAAATTTCACAGCTGTAAGTCGAGTCGTTTTGATTATATTAAGTTATTAATTTGTTGAGTTGTCATGGTGAGGACGTTTCTAAAAGTAAAGCACTGGACTTGGACTGGGACGGGGACTAGAACTAAGGATGGGGTTACTCGGCTCTGGCTTGACAGTGTCTGGGGTGTTGGATCTAAGTTTTGTTTAGTCAATTGTCACGGAATGTGTACAGCATTGCCTTGGGTGGTCATTAAAGCCAGGTTTTGCTCTTTGAATGTACAACGACAACGACAACGACGAAACAATCACATACATAGATCACACCCAAAAAAAAAAAGAGCAGGATAAACGCCCAGGGGCGATAAATCAACGTGGCCGGTATACCTATATCATAAAGTGGGCGTGTGCTGGATGGCAAAATGAGAAGAGAAAAAGAATTTGCGGCAAAACGGAAGAGACTTCAGCAAGGGAGCCGGATGCAGGCAGAGGGACAGCTAAAAGTCAGGGCAGGGCGGCCATTAGAAGGCAGCTCTGTTTGAGGTTTGGCTTTTGTGATGCATCCCTTTGTCTCCCAGTTTTTGCATTGCCCAGTTCCAACCTTAATGTATTTTCATTAGCATTGCTGATGTACACACTCTCTCTCACTCACACTCTCTTGCTCGCTCAACACAGCAAACAATGACAGGAGCAAAAAAGATCGCACACACACACACAAGCACACGGCAAAAGGCAACACTTCGAAGGTCAGAAGGCAGACGAGCAATTGCCCAAAAGGTGTAACTCCGCAGGGTTGCCCCGCAGGACATGGCAGCCAGGTAGCACCCGATCAATCGAGCCTAGTCAATGGCCTGGCCCTCTAATTGACGTTATTAGTTGGGTTGCGGTTCGGTTCAGTTCGGTGCGGTGCTATGCGGTGCGTTATGGTTTGAGGGTAGCTCTCGCTCTCTCTGGCATCTGGCCACCCCGATCAGCATGCTATTCTGCAGCATAATCCAATTGAGCGAGTTGTTGGCGGTTGTGCTGTGTTTACCCACTGACTTCTCATTTAGCACCGCTGCCAATTTCTGCCTGCTCATGCTGATTTGGGGTGTCTATATATGTGTGTGTTTCTTTGTTTGTGTGCGTGCGCATTAATTTTATCGAAATTGTTAACAAATTGGATCGACACTGAGCAACAAAAATGATGAACACAGATCTAGTTATACGAATTTCGAGGGTACAATATAGTTTAAAGTATTTTTTAAAAATAAATTATAGGTACGATTAAGGATATTATTAAGTTATATATTATGTATTCTTGATCAGCATCAACAGCTCTGTCGATCATGTCGTGTCGGTCTGCATGAGTTCTCCGAGCTCAAAGACGAAAAATTTGGAATATAAGTTCTTGTATAACATAGGCAGATCAAGTTGATCGAATATCGATAAAAATCGATTACTGATGCGAATGAAACAAAAGACGTATACGACTTATTGTAGGTGGGGACTTGGGTTCAGTGCATCTCCTATCCACTTCAATGTTGAAAGATAAGTTCACGTAGCTGAAGTTTGCCCATTTAATAACGGTAGAAATCGATAGCGATAAAAGCCAAAAGCCTTGTTATACGCGAGGACTTGGGCATCTCCTGGTTAGAGATCTTTCTTAGAAGCATTCTTACTTTCAAATTTTTATTATTATTTATTATTTGATTTAAGACTCATTTAATTGTATATTATGCAACTTGGCTAACCATTTGCTTACTTGTAATCTCTTGTGCAGGCACTCAACAGCCGGCCAGTCCGGACAGCACCTCGCCAGTGACTTCGGAGGTCTCCTACACATACATCGGCTCCAATTGCCAAACGTCGCCAGCCCTCTCCGGCGACTATAAGAGCTACAGCCGCTCGGCGGATAGCGATGCGCTTTCTGTTGGTGATGCGTTGCACACGTTGCATGGTAGCGCCACAGCCGGCGGCAGCTCGGCGGCGCATGCGTTGCACAACAACAATAATAACAACAACAACAACAATAACAACAATAATAACAATAACAATAGTTTGAAGCACGATGCTGGCGCAGGCAGCGGCAGCGCTCACGACGACAGCTTGAACGAGGACGGCATCGAGGAGGACATCGATGATGTGGACGATGCGGACGGCAGCGGCGGCGGCGGCGTCAACGCCGACGGCATGCCCAACAAGAAGCGCAAGCGACGCGTCCTCTTCACCAAGGCGCAAACGTACGAGTTGGAGCGACGCTTCCGGCAGCAGCGCTATCTCAGTGCACCGGAGCGAGAGCATTTGGCCAGCCTGATAAGGCTGACGCCGACGCAGGTGAAGATCTGGTTCCAGAATCATCGCTACAAGACCAAGCGTGCCCAGAACGAGAAGGGCTACGAGCATTCCGGCCTGCTGCATGGCCATGGCACCCATCCGCATCATCCATCGGCGTTGCCCTCGCCCCGCCGCGTTGCTGTGCCCGTCCTGGTGCGCAATGGCAAGCCATGTCTGGGCGATGGGCCCAAGCTGACGCAGGATTGTGTGAGCACTGCCACCGCCATGCAGAATGCCGCCGCCGCCCATCATCTGGTGGCACTCAACGGCGCCGCTGCCTATCAGCATGCGGCGGCAGCCGCTGCCGCTGGCCTCCATGTCCATGCCCACGCTCATGCCCATCCGCATGCGCAGCGCGCCCCTTGGTGGTCCTAATATTGCTAGCTGCCTAGGTTCGAGTTGGCCGCACTGGGTGGTGGGAGCGGCCAAATGACTGCTAACTCGAATACTGGACAATAATGTGACTCTGCCACGGCTTGTGGCACAATTCGGTTGGCAATTCGAACAAACAAAACAAATTTTGTGCAATAATTGATAACAATGGTTCGACAGACAACAAGCAAATATGAGACACATCTCTCTTCTCTGCTCCGCTCCGCTCCTGCCCCTTTTTCCCTCATCCCTCATCCCCCAGAGCCCGTCATCTAATCAAAAACATATAAAACATACACAGAACGGGAGCTTGTGGCATGGCCAAGCCAAGTGCTCAACTTGAAGAATTCTTCGCCAAGCGCTGCAGCATTAATAATTTGAAGTGTTGTTGCATGTGCAACAAACTGCAGCAAATATCATTCGTGTAATAAAAACTGCTATAAATAATAATACTTTTTTTTTCCTGCAGCTCAAAAGCTGCGGGCTATTTAGACATAAGATTTTTTTTTTTGCACAAAAGTCAATAATACTTATTAATTTTTAGGCGTAGAACCAAGTTTTTTTTTTTGTTAGCGTTTAACTAAATAAAATATTAATACAAATATAAAAAAAAAATATAATTTCGGCTTGTACATAATGAAATAAATACAAGAAATTCATATTAACAATGCTAATATTTAAATAATAATAATAAAGCGTAATGATGTAAATATTTTTGACAGGTTAAAATTTAGTGTTCAATTTTTAGGCAGAATCACACTTTTTATACAAAATATATATATATATATAGATATACATATATATATCTTTATATATATAAATGCGTAGTCGTATCTGTAAAAAAATATAATTATTAAAATCCCAATAATCAATTTTTTTTATAGTGCATTAATCAATAAAAAAAAAACAAACTCTTTGAATTTATAGAGCGTAATGAGTTCATACATGTTAAAACACACACACACAGAAGCACACACACACACAAAATTCAACAAATGTAATTGTATTATAAACAAAAAAAAATAAAATTTAAAAACTGAAAACAAAAAGCGTATTCAATGCAAAAAAAAAGATTAAAAATATTTTGTTTGCAAGTTGGTATTTAAGATCGGACTACGCCAGCGGCCATAGATTCGCAACTTGACTTGATGCCTTCAAAAACAAATATAAAATTTGATTTTTGTCAGTATAATTGTTACATACATTGCAATATTACATCATTTTCTGTCACGATATTGGTCAGAATCGAAGGAGCGTTATTCAATTCAGATTCCAACAGCGGCCAGGCGCTAGTAAAAATGTTAAAACATTAAGCAGCCCATAAATACGCCTTTATTAGGGCTTTTAGCTACCGTTTACGTCTACAGCGACCGATTGGGATCGTAATCCATTAATGATTATACAAATAGTAGTACTACCTGCAATAATAATATCATAATACTCACATACGTTCGTTGGCCGCTCGGACTTTGGAAATGCCCGGCAAACCGATAAGCTTCGGTGGGTGCATATTGTGGAAAGCGGGTATACGACATACAATGTAATATGGCACTAATATAATTTCCCGGTTACCAAGCGAATTTACTTTATTGTATGGCCATCAAGAGCTGATGATGTGTGTGGTCGCAATCCAACCCGACATGACAAAATTCGCTGGAGACAAAATTGCATGTAGTGGGTCATGTCAATTGTTATATGTCTGTATGATGTACAGTTTATATACATAGTATGTGTCTACAACAAAATCAAATCACATCAATAGAGACAATCAGCAATCGTAGGACACGGCATGACGTAGCCCCTCGTTACTCTCAATAGGTGAGTGCACATAATTTGCGCAAATAAAGAACTTGAAGTCAAGTATATATTTTGGAGTATCTCATAAAATAAACAAGTGCTTTTCGAATAAACGACAAATTAAATTACTCATCAATGAGCTCTGAAAAACCCTCAAGAGCTACGAATCAAATACTATACACATATACATAGACATATACATATACATATGTGTATGTACGTGAATATGTATTCAATTTCAACTAGTGCGCCATTAACTTCTGAGTATTCCATTTGACATCTGAAAATTGAGATACTCAATTATCAAAAAATAATCGAAGCTCATAATACTGTTGAATTCATTAAGAAATCATTCTAAATGTAGTTGAAAACAATTTCAATTTGTGTAAATAAATGACTTTGATGTGCTTCCCGCAATTCATTTAAAGTTTTTTATTCATTGACAAGTGAATATGAATCACATTTGAAATTGGGCTCAGCCACAAGCAAAAGAATATTCAATAATTATAATCATTTTAAAAATTAAATATTTATTAAAATTTGAATTAAATTCAGTTAATTTATTAAGAATTCGAATTTAAAATTGAGATGTTTTTTAATTTATCCAGTCAACTATTGACATTTAAGTTCTGCGGTTTACCATAGTTAATATACCAAGTGGAAGGGTATTCACACCATAACAATAACCATACCGAAAATTAATAAACATCGAGTGCCTGGTCATATATCTTCACAACAACAAGAGCAGCATTTATACACAGGCCATAAACTCAACGATTACTGATGTACCATAAATAATGTATATTCCTATGATTGCTTTAGTTGTTCATTTTTATTAGATTTATCAACAAATGGGAGCTCCACATACGAATTTACTTATTTAAATGAGCTTTAAGTGCTGTACTTAAAAACAAACAAGATATAAATGCATTCTTATGCTTTGAGGAGATTATAGACCCTTGCAGGTCCTGCTCACATTTAAGAATAGAACGATGTTTATAAGCTCTTCATCATAATTTGAGCAAAATTAGAAAAGTTGTAACTAGTGGCTGGAAAATTGCTTACCAATCTTCTGAGAAGACTATCACTGAAACAATATAAAGCAAAGTTGAATAAATGCATTTATTTTAATATACATAATTTAAATTAAGTAATCACGATTGTTATAAAAATTGGGACTGAAATAATATTTTTAGACTTGATATATTTTTTTAAATATTACAAATTAAATTCTAATTGAACAATACTTTTAGAATTTGCTAATAACTGGTTATATTTCACTGATAACTGGCAATAGTTCATGTTGATCATATATTTATATTTATTATTATATTTATATTTGCAATTTCGACAGGCTCCATAAAAATACCTCCGCAAGTAATTGGCTTATAAATTTCGATTGTTTGAAATCGCAATTTGCCTCCTTGGGATGCCATTAAATTTATTTGCATACAGATTTGGCTATCGCACAGGATGTTGATTATACGGGGCATTAGCTGGGTACATTTCAGCACCACAATTTACCACTATGATCTAGATTAGACGTAATAACTGCTCAAGACTGATATTGCACGGCAGCGACTATTTTGAGTTAACACAATAATAAACTTTCTGTATTTTATTATTATTCTTTTTCTATTCGTTATTATTGTTGCTCGCTTTGCTTTCAGATAAGCTCCCAGAAGGTACAAACTGATTGCCTCCGCTTATGAATGTGTGTCCGAGCCGTATCAGCAATATGTCTCACACTGCCGGACAACTTGGCCAGCAATCGTGACTACGTACATACATACATACATGCATACATACATACATACATATATTGACACATTGGTCAGCATGCGTGGACGTCATGTCAAGAACAAACGTTTGGTCTTATCAATTTCAACACCAGCACGCGGCAAGCGGTTGATGGATGGATGCGGTGTGCAGGTGCCTACCAAAGCTGGAAGAGGAAGCAGGCTACGTTCCAACTACGTAGGCGATTCTGTAGATAGATCTGACCCACAATCGACATTTCAATTGAGTACACACTTAACATCTGGCCGGAAAAAATATAGTAAGATTATCATATTTAGTACGGGTTCCTACTATAAACTGTTTTTTTTTCACATTTGTAATACTACTAAAAATAAATAGGGGCACCTTACTACTTCCTATGTGGATCCGAAAAATGAATAGAGTCCTCTTACCTATTTGAAAGAAAAATAGTCGGAGGTTTTCGATCATCATGTTACAAAGACACAGAGGAAAAATTATAAAAAAAATTTTAATACACATTTATTGGTATTACAAAATAGGCATCTAAAAAGTGTCTTATGGTATAAGTATTTTAAAATGTTTTCAGAACATTATTAATTAATGAACAACATTGTTTTAACAAATCGATTTCTATAAAAATAGATTCTTTTTGAGCATATACAAATTTTGGCTTGTAATCCTCTCAATTATCATTTTTGGCAGCTTCGATCTCTCTTCGAAGCTATATGATATAGCAAGTCCGATCCAGATCCGACATGTTAACTACCAGCAGAAAAATTTAATAAAATGCCAAAATTGCTCTAAAACTAAGGGTTTATTTCGCACTGGATAACACAGATAGATGGACATAACTATATCGACTCTAGTAGCGATGTGCATCAAAAATGATGTATTCCTTACTTTATGGGACAGGAAACGTTTCCTTCAATGAGAAAAACTATTTAACCCTCTGCAAGGAATTTATTTGAAATATCTTTTACTTAATTGTGATGTAAGGTTTCCAGGGATTTTTCTTCAAATAGCTTCTACATAATTCCGATGTATACACTATGATTATAATAGGGATTAACAATTGTAAAAATTAAGCAGGCTAAAAATGTCTTGCTAATTCAAATGTGCTTGCCTTGAATTCATTTGCTGTTGCGTAGGCACATTGAAATACGATCTCATCATCAAGTGAGCAAATACTTGGCAAAAACTTGTAATTGGGTAATGAGAACAAGGTAAGGTAAATGGATGGACAACAACAACAACAACAAGACGAAGAAAAATACATATGATGAACACTTGAATTCAAACAGAGAGACCCAAGCACTTGTCAACAATTCCCAAGAACAAGGAGTACGTAGAATGTCATGTGAATTGAACGCCACTTACAACACTTAATCAGCGCCGATTTCTGTCGGTTAAAATGTCAGTTGTTGTTGTTGTTTCAGTTGTTGTTATTGTTCAAATTTGGCATTGATAAAGTTGGCAGACGGTGCCAGACAACGGCAGCACAATAACACAAATAACGACGGCATTGATTCGAATGTGGTCAGTTTATAATGAAAAATTGATTAACGCTATATTGTATGATATTGATACTAGAACAAATAAATAAAATGTAATATAAATGTATATGTATCTGTATCTATATATATATGCACACTTCTCAGTCGTTGGAATAAATAAATTGATCACAGAAAAAAGAAGGAACTATTATCTCAGCACGGAAATGACTATATGGATTTCAGTCTAGTGCTAAAGCTGATCAATAATATATACTCGTATGGGGTTGAAGACGTTTAACTTAGTGCGTTGTAAATCTGAAAACACAATTAAATACCCTCTAGCAGGGTATCAAAATGGTAAATCAGTGAACAGAAATGTAGAAATTAAACAGGCCGAGTGAAGGCAGTAAAGCAAACAAATGAGATTACAATTAATAAAATAATCGATAAGTGCACGAGCTGTGCTCCATTGCTGGTTCTACTCGCCAAGCACTTCTCTTGATTTCAATAC